ACAGTTGCTGGAAGGTAATCCTCTCGCCGCGAGTGATCCCGTTCTGTGGTGCAACGGATTATTGACTCGCTGTGATGGTATTTAGCGACACTGTGGCAGCCGTCCTGTCATGCCTGTTCATGGAGCTGGCCCGGCATCCGAAAGAGTACAGGAAACTGCAAGATGAAGTCGACGAGTACTTCAGAGGACATGACAAGCCTGAACATGCCGCCCTTTCAAAGCTACGATATCTTCAAGCCTGCATCGACGAATCATTACGTCTGCATCCACCTGTACCGTCGGGTGTACAGCGAATGACGCCGCCAGAGGGTCTTCAAGTAGACGACGTCTGGCTTCCTGGAGACACCATTGTTTTTGTACCGTCGTATACACAGTACAGAGGTGAGTCCTTCTCGAGAATTGAGCAGCAAAAGTTGCCGTTTGATTTGTTTCGGAGGACGAATGTAGATGAGTGACTAATAGACCTACCGAATGATAGACGCCAGGTTCTTTGAGAGACCAGATGACTTCATCCCGGAACGATGGATTGACCAGCCGGAACTCGTCAAGAACGCCGCAGTCTACGTGCCATTCTCGACAGGTGAGTTGTTGACTGCCTTTATTCCATCAAGTTATCTAAACGACGACTTTGCTAATTTTACTCGCAAGGACACGACGTATGTATCGGGAAACAGCTCGGCCTCCTAGAGACGCGATTTGTGACCAGCGCCATCGTGCACAAGTACAACTTGCGATATGCACAAGGGCAGACAGGGGAGATATTCCTAGAGGGCAACAAGGACACGGGTACACTGACCGTCGCCCCGCTCAATGTGGTATTCTCGCCGAGGAAAGCGTGAGCGTGGGGGTGCTTCGGCGAAGTTGTCTCATCTCCCGTCTTATACATGCAGCTTACAGAAAATTTCCCGGTCAGGGGAGGTTGGTTGTCAACTCATCAGGGTCTCACAGTCCAGCAGGACATGCCGCTGTTGGTTGCATGGGTGCGTGGTTAGTGAGATGTACCAGTAGTATGTAGAGTGTGCTATTCTTCTCGTATATGTTCCTTGGCGTAGGTACCTTCACCTCTCAGTGCTACCTATGTGCAGATGTTTGCAGACTCAACTGCGAGCTTGAGGTTCAAACTTGAAATTATATGATGTGTCGAAAGAGAAATGCTCGCTGTCATTCCGTGCTTACCAACATCGCTGATGATTCCTAGAGAAAATGCGCGTCAAACCTTGCCATACGTCGCTCGTATCCGTCGCTCCAGATGCTCTCGACTCGTAACAGGCTCGGCGCTCTCGTACCCCTTTCTTCTCAAAACCTCCAAAAACTCGGCATCTGCACCACCGTCGCCGCCATTCCTTCCATCCTCCTTGATCGGCGCCAACACGACATGGCGATCGGGCTGTATGAAGACGGGTATACTCAGCCTCGCCACATTCTCGCTCGCTGACCTGGGAAAGGCGACCCTGTGCACCGTAGACCGTAGCCTCCCTGCAGTCCAGAATTCGAGAGCGTCGCCTATGTTGACGACGATGGCGTCAGGGATGCAGGGGACGTCAGCCCACGCAGCGGGCTTGTTTCCTCCTCCTCCTCGCAGGACTTGAAGCCCGCCCTGGTCTGAGGCCTGGCGGAAAAGCAGGGTGAGCGAGCCGTAATCGGAGTGGGCGCCCGCTCGGATATCCTCCGAGTCGGAGGTTGGGGCGTCGTCTGAAGGGGAGGAGGAGGTGGTGGTGAATGATGAGACCTCGGATACCGGGGGGTAGTTTATGAGACGCATACGACAACTTTCGCCAGTATGGGCCTTTGATAGGAAATCTCTTGGCATCTGAAGTGAAGAGTTTAGTTAAACCCACCCCCTCATTTCGATGGCTCCTTCGCAGTAGGATGTCATATAAAACACTTAGATGGCAGCACTCACGCCTAATCCAACTGCAAGTCCTTCCAAAAGGGTCTTTGCGAGGTTGTCGCAACCCGCAAAAAAGGCCGCCATTGTCTCTCGCCGGGGTTCCAACTCGGGTGGAAGAAGTTGCGTCGTTTTACCGGGGTCTGATAGATAGAAGGACTCTTTAACGTCTCCTGGCCCTGCTCCCGAAAGCCTGCTCCACCCAACAAACATCAACATCTGAGCGTGGTCTCACTACTTCTTTACGAAAGGGGAAACAAAGTAAGTATGGTGGACTGGGCTGGCCAAACGTACGTTTCTTCCCTCATACCGGTGTAACCCTAAACGAGATCAAACCAAGCAGTCAGCACCGCAAAAGATTGATCGCCGATCAAATCCATCCAACAACATGTACACATATGGGCGTGATTCCCCGCACCCTCTCGTTCTCGGTTGCTCAAAGAAAGAAAAGAGAAATGGAAAAGACATAAGACTATTCGGGCGAAATGCAGAAATCAAGAAACAGGAACACTCACCAGATCGCCGCTGCCATTGGCGTACGCCAACTTCTCTTCAATGGGTGAGCTGAAGAAGGTCTCGGCAAGAGCAAACATATCGGCTGCGACGTCGTCGCGCAGCTCATGGCCAACAACGTAGAAGAAACCGGGATCCTTGCCGACGCGCATGAGGTCGGCCGCCAGGTCCTCGACCGAGTCGAAGGACTGCAGGTCAACGACTGGTAGCGCCGCCTCCGACTCCGCCGCCGCTGCTGCGGCCGCGGTCATGGTTGGCTCGTTGGTTTCGGCGTAGCGCGCAGACGCGCAAACCGGGGTTTGAAAGACGTGGGGTATTGGACAATGGGATTCTTGTAGCACTCTTCTCGTTATAGAATGAATAGTAAAGAATACGCGGGGGATACAGATGTGGATAGTGGGTTTTCAAGACAAGCAAGCAAGCGACTGTGGTTTCTGGTAGTATCGCGCGTAATATGGCTTCGAGAAATTTCGTCCGATCCGAGTTGCGCCCCGGCCGGAGGCAAAGAAGCGCGGATATAGAAGTATGCAGGATGGAATGAATGATGCATGCGGCATGGGTGAACGCCACTTTCACAGCAGATAGCAATCAAAATGTCCAAGCCCCTCGAGTTAAGTAGTAGCTCTTGGATGCAACTTTTCTTTCGCTCTAGCAGAATGAACCCCTCTTCCGACGGACCGACCTCGAGATAACCTCGTGGGGAATCGGGGTTTCCGCGGTCTCGGAGGCGGTTAAAGCTGTAGAATCAAAGAAACAGCGGCAGATTCCCCATCTCAGAGCTCGCTCATTTTGCCTTTTTGTCTCTCTTTTTTGCCCATCTTGAGGGGAGCCCCGCCGCGGGAAACACACGTGGGCTTGCTGGGTCTCGGGGTCCTCGAGGCGTTCGACGGGCCAAAGAGAAGGGGAGAGTGACCGCCCGTACAGACGCCAGACGCAACCCTAAACCGGGTTAAATGTTATCTTTTGAAAGGGCCGGGGGGGGGGGTTCACGGCCGCGGTTGACGATCGATATGTGTGACGAAGAAACGGCAGTGCCCGCGCGTGTGGCCCCATGACCGGTCCAGTTTCCCATGCAGAAAGATCTCCGCAGAAATCACGAAACAGAATGCGGAGATAAGAGCAATCGTGATCTCGATTCTCGACCGAAGCCGTCAAAAGTCATGTCTCAAAAGAGGGGTCCAACGTGATGGAGTGGGCGATGGTGGTGCTCGAGCCAATTGCGACTCGTTGCCATTTCCCGAGCCACATGAATTTTGCGGCCGAGACAGCGAGACAGTGGCTGTTGAGCTGTTGAGCTGTAGAATGCCATAGTGCCATAATGTGACAGTTCCCTCAACTTTCCTGTTTACTGCGATGCGTGGGATACATACCATGATGCAGATGAGGTCTGATTGGTATCTGTACGGAGACAATATCTGGCGATGTGCTTCAGTAAACGCCGCAACAGTCTGTGGGCGCAAGCAATGCAGCCTACTTCTCCATAGACTAACATAGTCGAAATCTGAGAAGGAATCAGGTTGATGACCCTGTCTTCAATGTATCATCTGATAGGTCTGCGTCGGTCCGCCCTGCTCCAACGCGCCAAGCGAAATTGAAGAGCAAACAAAATCCCATTCCCCCTTGTCCATTCAGATCCAACACGTAATAATCCTGCTTCCGTACCCATCAAGTAAGCAGGAGGAAGGAAAAAAAAAGGAAGAAACACCCCCGGTGTGAACTAGAACCCGAAAAAGACCCTTGCACCAATTCTCTTTTCCCCTCCCTACCGAGAGCCTGGTCCGCGCCCCTTCTGCCCTGGGGACCTATCCACATTCCCACACTTTTGGGGCCAGGGATCATCGTCACCGCTGCAGGTTCTGCATGGCAGTGGAGGGACGGGCACGTCGTGGATCGTGAAATTGACCGCGCATCCCACGAGGGAAAGAGTTCGAAAGGGACGGCCAGGGGGTCATGTAGTTTGAGTCTAGGTTTCTCTTCCAACTGCATGATATCAAACGTGATATTTGTCGTAAACCTGGAAGTTCAGCTTACGAAGTATTACATGGCGTCTCCTCTAGCTTCTACAAACCTTGCCTCTAGAGTCCTTTTCCCCCCTCCCAAGTTCCTCAACCCCCAACCACATTCTCCCTTTTCGCCATGGATGTTCCCGTAGCCTCCGTCAGCTCTCAAGTCCCGCTATTCGTAGACCGAGGTGCTGATATCTTGTTTCAAACGACTGGAGCAAACCCGGCCGCCATCTACACTATTGCGCCGGGATGATTGGAAACCCCTGAAGTGGTATCATCGGTGAAAGCTGACCCTGCACTTGGTCGGCCCGGGCTTCGCAGGCGCACCCTCCATCATGTACGTGAATCCATACACAGCATGGTAAGACCACTTCCCTCTTGCTCTTTTCCTTTTCCTCTCCTGTCAGCCTGTCGGTAGCCCGTTGGCCAAGTCGCTAACCATGCCTCTGGGATTTGTCTCGCCCGCTTGCTCAACCCTTTGCCCGGGACAGGTTCCGCGTCTAGCATCCAGCTCCTCCAGACCCAGATTCCCGGTACCGTTAAATCCCGTACGTAGGCATTGAACATCAAACAGGAACGCTCAAGAGATACAAATACCATCCGTGAAGGCCATCCCAAGTTCCAATCACACTGTGTCTCTTCACAGTACCCTGCCTCCTTCTTCCACTCCTACTCCCCGTCGTAGCCTCCAAACTTTTAACCTTTTGCCCGCTACGCGTTGCATGGAACTGAACACTCCACGATCTGTGCGACGTAACTAAGCTTTCCGTACGAAACTCTGACAAGCTAGACGCTAAACAAGTTGAACCAAAGAAAAGAAAAAGCCCGCCTCAGAATCGTCCGGTCCGCTTACGGTCTGGCCTAGCGCCCTCCCCGTCTCCCCTTTCTAGATCTCTCCCGCACCGCCTCACTCCTAAGTAAGGTCCGTCTCATATCTTCATTGAAAGAGGCCGGACTGACTCAATAACCCTACTCTACTGCCCCCATCCCATCCCGTTTCCTCCTGAGCGGGCCCCTTCCCCCATTTTCCCGCCCTCCACATTCACCCGCCTTGTGGTCCCCGTCCCTTTTTTGCGAAACGGGTGGGCATACACCGCAGTAGTTCGCAGAGCCGGCGTCACGGCGTACATGACACATTTCTCGAGTGAACACCACCAACATCTCACAGTAAACCGCTTCATCAGGGGGACATCCCAGCAGTGCGAAGTCGAAACTAGAGAGGGAACTAGCAACAAGAAGCCATTCTGATTATCGACGGTGTTCGACGGCGCCCTTCTCGGGCTGAACCCCCAACCGGCGCCAAACAGCCAAGATGACGACGGCAACGGCCCTCCTCCGCCGCGTCCAAGTCCCCCGCGAGACGGACGTGGCAACGACGGCCTACATGAACCGCGACACCCGGCCCCTCCCGCCCTCCCGCCGCACCTACGGGCCCTGGCAATTCGTCGGCCTCTGGGTTGTCACCGGCTCCTTCAACATCGGCGGCTGGACAACGGGCTCTTCCCTCATCGCCCTCGGCCTCAACGTCTGGCAGGCCATGCTGACCGTCATCATCGGCCACTGCCTCGTCGGCCTCATCTGCGTCCTCGCCGGCGGGCCGGGCGCGAAATGGCATATCGGCTTCTCCATCCTGCAAAAGGCCTCCTGGGGCATGCGCGGCGCCTTGTTCCCGCTCGTCCAGCGGATTGTTTTGTCCTTTATATGGTACTCTACACAAGTCTACTGGGGCGGACAATGCGTACGCACCTTCATCGCCTCCATGGCCCCGTCCTTCAACAACCTCGACACGCCCCTCGCCAACGGCACAATGACGGTGGCAGACTTCATCGGCTTCATCATCTTCTCCCTCCTCTGCCTACCCCTAATCTACATCCGCCCAGAACGCTACCACATCCCCTTCGCCGTCGCCGCCTGCACGGTCATCCCCACGGTCTTCGTCCTCTTAATCTGGTGCCTCGCCACAGCCCACGGCGCAGGCCCCATGCTCCACGACATCACTTCCACCGCCGGCGTTCAGCAGGCAACGGGATCCCACCTGGGCTGGATGCTCGCCCTCGGCATCTGCACCAACATCGGCGGCATCAGCACCCACATCTTCTCTCAGTCGGACTTCACGCGCTTCGCCCGTCGGCCCCGCGACCAGCTCGCCTCCCAGCTCGTCTTCGTGCCTGTCAACACCATCCTCGTCGCCTTCGTCGGCATCGTCTGCACCTCGTGCGCCGCCCAGCTCTTCCCCAAGACGCAGGGCACGCTCGTCTGGGAACCCTACCGCTTCCTCGACGCCCTCCAAGCCCACTACGACAACAGCGCGGGAGCCCGCGCCGCCGTCTTCTTCGCGGCCCTCGCCTTCATCTTTGCCCAGTTCGGCATTGCCGTCGCGGAGAACGCGCTCTCCAACGGCATCGACCTTTCCGCTCTGCTGCCGCGCTACTTCAACCTCCGCCGTGGTGGGTACCTCACCGCCGCCGTAGCTTTCATAATGCAGCCGTGGCAGCTCCTCAACGGCGCGAGCAAGTTCCTCACCGTCATGGGCGGCTACGGCGTCTTCCTAGGCTCCATGACGGGTGTCATGTTTGCGGATTACTATCTCGTCCGTGCGCGGCGGCTGAAGCTGACGGATCTCTACGAGGCGAGCAGCCGGAGCGTGTACTGGTACCGCGGGGGCGTCAACTGGCGGGCCGGCGTGTCGTGGACGGTGGGCACGTTCTCCCTGCTACCCGGGTTCGTGCAGCGAGTGCAGGATCCGACGGTTGAAAAGGCGGGGTGGTCGCACTTGTACTACCTCGCTTGGCCGCTGGGTTGTATCCTTGCCGTGGTATCGTATTGTCTACTGCACGCTGCGTTCCCGATTCGGGACCCTCATGCGGTTGACGACGCGGACTATTTTGGTACGTTTGGGCCGGCGGAGAGGCCGGTGCTGGACGGGGAGCAGCTCCCGTCGTCGTCTTCCAAGGCGTCTGATAGAGATGATTCGACTAGCAAGATTCGTGAGGAGCCCGATGAGAAGAGGGTGTGAAGGAACTTGGTCTGCGAAGTGGTGTGTTATGATAGCGAGCCAGCTCTTGTCGTTTTCCTTGTTATAGCGCGCGGGATACCTTTGATGTGTGTGCGGTTTCTGTCCGAATAGAAAATGACATAATGGCCTTAATGGCTTACCATCGATACTGTCGTCAGTTTCAAGTGTGAGGGAGATGAGATGTGACATGTCGAAAGAGGTGATGAAGCGGCAGCCTGCCGTCGACCCAATGTGTATGTTCCATTCGGCGCATCATGAACAGACACTTCCAAGAAGAAGGTGGCAAGTGATGTGCTAAATGTGACGGTTCATCTGCAAGTCTTCCTAGCGTCGTGGGTATTGGTTGCAAGTCATACTGGAAGGATGCATATCCCACACCACCAGGATGATGATAAGAGAACATGTTCAAGAGAGGGATGGGCGGCCATCATGCACACTTATTGAATTCAACCAACACTCAATCAATACCCTGGTATCTGCTGCCATCAAGCCCTAGCAAGCCCATCAATCCACATTGCGCCAATTCATCATCTCGCCTCTTGAATCGTGACATCCCCCGCCTCCACCATCCCGCGCCATCATCCACCTCAAAGAACCTTCCCCTGCTCAATCCCATCCATCAAGATAGCGAAAAAGAGGGCAAAATGACCGAAACGGGCCAAATGGGCATCAAAAAGGTCCCACATCGTACGAGCCCTGCATGGAAGATCGTCCCCAAGTGCCGATGCGGGAGACAACAAGAAGCAAAAGACGCGGTGTTCCACCGCACAAAGGCGGGGTTGCGGGCGGATGAGCTGATGAATCCACAGACGAACCGACTCAGAACCCGGCGACTGCGGCCAGGGCACTTAACCGCCCATCCGCTTCAATTGCTGAAAACGGCATGTCAATAGAAACGAAAGCCGTCGATTAATATTGACAACGTCAACGTCAGCTTGGTAAAAGCCAAATTTCATCCCGTTTATGCGCGTCGGGACGACATACTAATACCTGAATCCATCGGTATCCCGTCCCCTGTTTCCTCTTTGTTCTCCCACACGGACAAACAGCATGGCGCCGGCAATAGATCAGCCTGTGAGGCTCCTTTGCATCATCCCCATCTCAACAACAGGCATGACAGACGACCTAACACGTATATATCCCTCCACGGCAACCGTCCAAGTCACTTTTATAGACGGCCGCGACCTCGATGACTGCCCCCCGTGCATCGAGAACCACGCACAGGCCATATCCTCCACCAACGCAGTCCTGCCCCGCGCCACTGAGTACATCTCCACCCACAGCCCACACGCCGTCCTCGTCTGCTGCTTTTCAGACCATCCGCTAGTATACGCGCTTCAGGAGCGCTTCGGTGACAAGGTTCCCGTCACGGGAATATTCCAAGCCGCTTTGGAGGAAGCCACAGCAAGCGGAGGCAAGTTCGGCATTGTCACGACGGCGACCTCGTGGGAACAGCCGTTGACAGACTTTGTTGGTGGCCTCGGTTTCAGGAAGTATTCAACGGGCGTCGCGGCGACTGGCTTGAGTCCGCTTGAGCTGGAGAGCTTGGATCGAGGTGTCGTCATTGATCGCATTGCTACATTTGCGAAGCCTTTGATTGACAACGGCGCGGAGAGCATTATCCTCGGCTGTGCGGGTATGGCGGCATTAGAAGACGATATACTCTCGGCTCTTCCACCTTCGATCAAGACGATTGATGGTGTTCGTTCAGGTATGACGATCTTGTCGCGGCGAGTTGAGGAGGCGGCTTTAACCAGCCCAGTGCTTTCTCTCCTTGACGATAGCAAGACTACAATTGCGGTGAGCAGCACGGAATTGACAAGGGAAAGGCAGCAGGTATTATGACGTAGGAAGGGCCCGATGTGTACGATCAAGGGCTAGTGGCTACTATGAATGATGTTGATATACTCATATGATGATAGATCTGGCAGGAATCAACGCAAAATCAAGTCGTTCCCCAGCTCTCAATTGCGCCAGCCCAATCGATCTCCGCCCCGTCGTTGAAGGCATTGTTCCACATGTTTCCGATAAAGTCTGCTTGAAAATTGTAAAATGAAGTATTTGGCAACGCATACTGCTCAAGAAGGCCTGGGTGCTGCTGCTGTGGCGGCGGCTGAGGCATCAAGTCCATGACCCGCGGGTCATTCGATATCTCGGGCTGATGGTGCATGATCGGTGCTACTGGAATTGCCGGTACTGCTGTCACTGTTGGTACTGCCTGGCTCTGTCGAAGAAGTATCTCTTCTAGTTTGTGGATGTACTGGAAGATTCGTGCGCCTGCTTGGCTGGCCGAAGGGAGAGATGGCGCGAGGCTCTGGAGAAATGTGGCCATGGAAGTCCTGATGAGTCAGCATAATTGACAATAGGGGGCGTACAAGTCACCGCTTACATGACTTCGCGAAGCTTGTAGTACTGCCAGTCGACCAACTGGCGGGCAATGAAACTGCTAAGCAAGTGGGCGACTCCTGCCAACTCTTGCAACTGCATAGCCATATCAGCACGGCATCGGTCAAGTAAGAGAGGAGCATACCATGGGATATCCAATTGCCCGCAAGTATTCTACCGGCACCAGAGTAATCTCTCGTATTAGTTCAAGCGCAGCGCCGCAAGCATCTTCAAACTTATTGTGGCATGCAAATGCCGCCATCCGGAGTAGCTTGAAGTGGAAGTTAGCCATGAGAGCATTTGGCATGCAAAGAACCGAACCCACCTGGAAGGTACAAGCAATGTTAGCCACTTGAAATCCACATAGGTTCGCCTCCACGTCTTTGGAAGCTGGATAAGCGCTGGTGGCATATAGCGGAAGATTGCCCTTCTTTCCAAGAACGAGTTGCAACATGTCGTCAATGTTTGGCATAAGTGGTTCGTGTTGAATTGGACCTCTGTCGAGCGTCTTTAGTCGATCTTTGCGCATTCGGACAATGACATGTTCCAGAACGCGGTACAGGTCGGTGATGTAGTTCCAGCCGGTGAGCCAGCTGCCGTGGCTGAATCGAGTCTTCTCGGTCTGCCCTGAGGCATCTATGATTCCGGCGAGGCCGTCGACTTGCTGCGGATATGCAACAGCGCACTGCAGCTCAGGGCATCGAACCACATGGCCGTCGATCAGTGCTGCGTGAACCTCTAAGCGGTACATTGACCAGAAGAACTGCCGCCTTACATGCTTCTCCGGATATGTCAGATGCGAGGGCCAGCGCGTTTCAAAATGAAAGGTATGCTGAGCTACTAATGTGTGATAACGGCCCATACACTCGTGGAAAAGAGGGTCGTCCTTGAGCTGTGTGGCGGCTAGGGATAGAGTGCCGAGAACCTGTAAATACTCAAAGGCTTCGGAACTGCTGATGTCGCGATTCCTCTCCGGAATCGCCCTTTCTGCATCCTGCATGTAGGCCTCGTGATGCTCAGGGAGAAGAGGAGTGGGTGTATCCGGGTTGAACAAGGCGCCATCTCTGACGTGACATGAACTCAATGCGCAAATAGCCATCAGCCGGGCGAAAGAAGCCCGACTGGATGACAGACTGGTGGCCTCCCATTCTTTGTGTAAGGACACCTCGTCGAAAAATGGAAATCTTCAACCAATATTAGCTTATCCAGTGTAGCACAGAAGATGCAAACCAAAAAGGGACGAGGGTGGGATGAACGCACACTGGGTATACAGTGTCAAAAAAGATGACGATGAGTCGATAGATGAGGGCCCGGCTCCCGTGGCGGCTCTCGTCGTAGAACCACCTATCGCCATCGGCATCGTCGAAGGATTGAGATTTGTTATTGTTCACTGAAGATGACGGCGACGTCTTTGATTTGACACCTCGCTTGGCTGCAACACGATTCCATGTGCAGGTCGCGCCATGTTCTATGCAGGTCAGACAACTTGGCGTGCCCCCAGGACTGGCGACGGAGGTGACCCCGCCTCCGTCGGGCACGGGCTTGCATTTCCGCCCTCGACGATGGCAGAAATCGCAGGCTTTTGTGATGCGGCGACGTTTGATGCTAGGCTCGCTGTGCCGTCTGCTATCACCGTTTGGCAGATCGTCGTCTTCCTGTTTCTGGCCCATGATTCGAGCGAGCGTTGGACGCGTCGAATCGGGTCACGGGAGTCCCATCCGTCGGCGCGATGGCGAGGGACAATGGATAATCGGGATGTTTGGCGGTGGATACAATATCCGTACGGATATCTTTCTCACACGAGGGGAAATAGGTCAGGGAAAACCGGGTTAAGTTTTCCTACTGTCTGAGCCACGGTGAGGGGCCGCGCACCCCAAGGAATCCTTCTCTGTCCTCCCTGGTACGGTTCACGGATGCGCAGATCCACTGTCTGGCTATTCGTGAGTTAATTGCCGATGAAATGGATGGATTTGCTGAAGAAATGCAGGGCCGATCTCGGATATGTAGATGAATGCGGTCCGGAGGGGCACAATCGGCGGGAGGATGCCGTCTCTGTACAACCTCGAACTGGGGGCGGTTTTTCTGACCGGGCTAAAATGCGCTGGAGGAAACACGCTTTGGCGGTATTTTTTTCTGTGTTCTCCTTCTTTGCGTCCGAGGAGGGATCGGAAACATCAAACGTAGAATAAGATGAGGAGAACACACGGGGCAGATCGAGGTTGAAATTGACACGGCCAGGAGAGTGGTGGAGGGGGGAGGGGACGTCGGGTGGACGTGGACCTGGAGCCGCGCCCCAGCGAGCAAACAATCAGCCTGACTAAGCCGATACGTACTCTTTCTTTGTGGCACACACAGGGACGGGAAAGAAGGAAAGAAGGAAAGAAGGCTGCGAGGGAAGGCCCGCGGTGTGTTGTTTCCTCCTTCGCGCGATAAGGTAACATCGACCCGCGCCTGCCTTCCGGTGCTTCTGCCTTCCCAAATTGGCCAAGATCACGGGATTAAGGTACTCGCGTACCGTTGTACCTCGCGTTGTGCCCGAACCTGGAAGTTCTCACGAACGGCACTTCGGTACGTACTCGCCGACGGCGCAGCCAGAGGTGGCTGTGCCGCAGCCACTGATCGCATGGCACCCCCGTCACAGTGTCCTTTCTTTGTTCCTCAATTTCAATATTCCATCTTTCCAACACGTTGCGCTGTTGGTTCTACACCGCATCTCTCAACCCCCGCATCAGGCCTGGAAATAAGCCCGGATTCCACGCTTGGTTCCGCAAGTGGACAGATACGGCCGTGGGGGCGGCTCAGCTCACCTCGCATCTTGCTTCTTTCTTGGTATTGTCCTTGAAGATGTCAACCCAATATGAGCTTTTGACTCTTTGGTGTCGTACTGTCTGCGCCGATTGAGACACGTCAACGTCATGGGATTTGTGGCTGTCCTGAAAAATCGAACTCCCATTCACCGTCAATATCCGGGCTGATCAAATAAGCTCACTCAAGACCGCCTATCAGTCAGGCGTAGAATCATCTAGACGCCTGCGAGAGAAACCAACGCCAAGTTTCATCTTGAGACCAACACTTGAGTGGTGCCGATCACTTCTTAGCACAGACATAGGCACAGGCAAGACATGCACAGACGATAGAAATGTTTGTGGGGTGAAGTGAGACGGCAGGTCCAGCCTGAATCTTGATTTCTAGCCCCCAATGAAATTCCATCGGCCGATCCGCTCATGTTGTTGTTGGCTGCGATGACAACTCTCAACCAGCGCCACTTATTACTCACCCAAAGAAATCGCACGCAGTTTATTGGGCTGCGAGTTGTGCCACATGGTTACAGAGACTTAGAGCATTCTCTTTCATGCACATAATGGTTACGTAGCATGTCCCTCGCACTTCATTCTTGGCACCAAGTGTTGTTCAACCAACCGGATGACCAGAAAACAAGAAGCTCAACATCTCTTCAATTCTCCATTTGCTTATTGCACGGGGCAATCTTACACAAACTTCAACTAATAATAAAAAGCGGCCAGGCGCGATTCCTAGCCCTGCAATCGCATTCAAGCTGAACCCTCAACCCACTTCGTGCAGGATGTTGAACACAGACGAGCAGGGGGGAAGAGGCATGGGTGTCACTTCTGGACTCTACGTCGTACTTGGCCCGCATTGACCTTGGATAAGTTGAATTTGCGCTGAGGTGTAGCAAAACTCCAAATTCGCATGAAAAATGCGACTAGACACAATCAAGATCGAATCCGCCACATTCTTCTCGGTTCTGATGAGAAAAGGAAACGTCTTCTTTCGCAATGGCCGTTGATACCCATCATATCTCTCCTGGTCATGCAACGTTACTCCCCTCTTATTACATACCTCTCTAGAAGTACCGAGAGTTGATGGTAAGGGTGACTCTAACATAACATCCATATAGCCATAGGCACTAGGCAGGAATTAGGCCGGATTGTCAACTCTTCTTAGACTGCGTACGACTGCAATACCTTGCCGGTCAGTCCTAATTGAGTATCGGGATGGATCTAGATCAGACTTGAGCCTCAGTGACTACGAAGGGACGCTGACCCAACTCTGGGAATCGTCCAGGAGAATCAAGGGTTTTGCAGCTTCTCTCTACGGAATGAGCCTACGCCAAAGGCTTTCAAAAGTCAAACTCTATTGACGTCTTCGTAAACGGGGTTGCCAACTTGATATCTGAATTCAGAGGGAACTTGAAGAGACGGAGATTCGCCAGAGAAGGACGCGTACCCGGAGCAGGAGCAAATGTAAATCCGACGTCCGGCTTTATGTACTGTGTACATTCGTCGAGAACTTTTCGAGCAAGTCTGTTGTCTCTAGCCACAGAGGCTAGTGAACTGAAGCTCCGGATTCAACTCCAATTGACCGCTTTACAACGAATGTGGGATCATCTTCGCCCAGAAATAGTTCTGAAGTCGTGACCCGGAAGTGAATTTATCAAATGAGCAATCTAGTGTCCAAACCTTGCGTGGTAAAGTCGTCAGATACTATGACAGCTACTGCCTTAACGAAATCGAGAAGAGTATTTAAAGAGCCGTTTATTTCCCTGACCTTGACTCCTTCAACGTGAGACGATCAGAGCGCCAGATTGCCAGGTACTTCCGGGGAGCAATAGGATCATTGTCCAGATGGATATCCACACTCACTTGTTAAGCCATTTCAACCAAACCTGGTGATAACCCGGACGGGCTCGTAAAAGGACAAGAGAAATTAAACACACATCACCAAGTACTTAGCTTCCTCCGGTGCTTCGAAGTTGTGTCAGAATATCGTTCATCGCGGAATTGACCGCCAAGAGAGCCCTTATTGTAACCGTGCCATAGAGTATGTCCTATTGGCTCAGCGAGCTCTAGACATGCACTTTGCCTGTCTCATCATTGTTACATGGGCAAATTCTTTCCTGAGACACATACCCCTTTTTGACTGCCGCCAGTGACCCCTGGGCACTGGGCCGGTGGGCAGCAGCTCGGCTCGAACGGACAACTTCCCCTCTTCATCGGCTAATCAAAAAGGGCCCATACCATCCCGCTGGCAGCTTGCCGGATTTTTTTGAAGAGGAACGGATTGTTTTATGGCCCATTTCTTTCTTTCTTTTACATTAATACTCTTTTAATCCAAGGCACATACTCGACTCACTTGATTTGGTATGCCGCTCCTCCGATGAGGTTAGTCTTTTGAGGAGCACCGAACTATGCAAAATATTTGTATGGAACTATGACCTCCATCCTAGTTTGAAATGGCATATAAATGTAAGTTTCTGACCAGTAAATCTGGATACCGGCAGGCTTTTCGGCTCAGGCCAAGGAAGCTTACCCCCACCGGGACGCTTGTGTGCGTAACGTCGATCCCTTTTCTTTTCGGATGACGAATCCGAGCCTGACCAACAGCAGAATTTTGAGGTTCCATATAAACCTCCCGAAGAACAGAGTTAGGTTTCAGATTGTACGTGAAAGAAGAAGACTAGCCAGGAACCTGGGTAGAATTTGCTCGCAAGGCTCACAATGGATTTTGATCGGAAGAACTCTGCGGCATCAACTTTACCGCCACGTGCAGTATCATCAAAGGTCATCTGGACGGTGACACGTCTGAAGTGAAACTATGAAACTATGGAAATTGGAAGATTGCAATGTCACAGCTTTTGAGCAGTGCGCTTAGCGGTGCGCTTTCCTTCTGAGCTTGACTGCCGTTCCTTATCTCATGAGTTTAAGCAGAAGTATTTCCTATGTCATCGAAATGTAGCTACTGGCTTCATTTACCCTAGACACCTCTAGTATGCTTAAGGTACCTTATGTTTGTGCTCCGCTACCTACCTAGTCCATGAGGAAACATGCCTCAATTCCTCGAGTACTCGTATCTGGACGCATGAACATGGTCGAAAGTACTTTAATGAGATACATAAACTTCAGCAGAATGTGATAACTGCCTCAATTCGAATCAGGATCAGTTCCAGACTATGTCCGCTTGTAAAAAGCTATCGTTATGCGTATCTTGCAAAGAATGATAAACGTGCTCTCGGAAATAGCCTTGGAGAAGGTCTTGTGAAAGCTGTGCATCGAGCAGGTATGTTGATTATTGAGTTACACCTACTTCTTTCCTGCTGATTACAACGTGCTGGGTGGCAAAACAACACGGATGGAGCACCTAGACATGGTCATCCCTGAGCCAGACTGCAACTGTCACTGGCTGATTCGGAAGCTTCTTTACAGTGTATGACTCCTCGATCGAATATGAATACTACCGGGGGCACATTGGGTGTTTCTGACAAAAGTCTAGTGTGCCTTAAACTCTGCAGCTTCGCAACTACCTTGAGATGCAGCCATTGAGCAGAACGCGCCTACGACCTGGTATCTCTGGGGCATTGAAGTGTCTGCGGCAGTGGCTCCAGTTTCCTGTCACCTGGTCTCCGCGACGGCCTCGCAATTATACCTTTGAGTCAAGAAGGGAATCCGGTCCCGCATTTGACCATGGCCACTTCTTCGACTCAAGAAATCAAACCTCCGGTCAAGATTTCAAAGTTGAATCATGACCTCCGTGAAACACAATCGGCCATGGAGTGTCTTCTCATCATCTCTAATCGGGCTCGTCGACTAACTAACCCCGAAGCATCAAAGCTCGGCACCGCTATACTCTCCGGTAAAACTCGGCCACGTGTACGCCCTACCAAAGCCGGCCGAGGAAAGTCTCCGTGCGCCTATCGCCCACCGCGTCTCCCACTCTACTCGGCACCTCGAAGACCTTGTGTTTAAAGTTTCTCATGTCATCTGTGCTCCTCGAGACACAATTGCTCGCTCGACGCCGAACGTGACAAGGTATTCCCAGCCGCTAGTAGTCCATCCAGCGATCATACTGCCCGTCCCTCGGTATCTACGACCTGTTTACCCGCCAAGGCTGTCGTTCTACCTCGCAAGTCTACTCGGTCTCGCTCGCTATCATGTTTCATGGCACCGCGCGACACGTAACGATGGGATTGATTACGCGCCCGTCATGGACTTGGCGTAATGCGTGCCGTGCGCTCTTTTTTTTTTCCGTTTGTAAGGAACACGCAGGGTTTGTTTCTAGCAATGGTTCAACTATGGTCCTCTAAGGTTCTTGGCCTCCCATGTTTCCTGGCGATAACATTTGGTATGCATCCATACTCGTATAGAATCCGAGGGATTTGGACTAGCAAGCCAATAGCTGTAAGTACGGTCTATTTTGTGCTAGGCCATCTAGAGCCTTGCGTCCCTCGGATCTTTTGGGGCGCAGCTTGTAAAGTTCAATGGTGCGGCCGTCTGAACAGCAGCAAGAATTCAAGCTTGTCCAGTCCCTTGAACTCTGACCTTAAGCTGGCAGACAATACAGATGGTGCGACGGCTTGCATGTAACTTAATGCCTCTTTCGCGGTGTGATGATCCCACGGAACTGGTTGAGGCTAAAAACTTTCGCCAAGTAGAGTTCGTACCTTGCAGCTATTGAAGCAAACATGATGCTTGTTCGACTACCTACACGACTTTACGGACTTCATATCGTAAAGCCGGCTCCGGTATATCGGATTCGTATTATAGCAAAGGATGGTATTCAAAGAGAGAGGAGTACTCGGACTCATGTTGGCACAGACGCTGTCGGCGTGTCGGCGCTGTAGATCGGTAGGGAGTTCACAGATCATGGACTCCTGGCCCCCAACTTGGCATCTCAAGTACCATAACTGGGAAGAGATGACACTGGCGTACTTTCGATAAGATGCTCCGATATGGGCAAGTCTCGCAAGTGCTCCTGATCGACCTGAATGGCGGGCGTGGGGGCCCTACTCTAGCGGAAGAGAGTCATGCCAATGGATATTGGACCGGTCACAGCGCTCTGGACTAGTTCCTCCATTCGGCCAGACCTCGCAATGACAGAACAATTTGATTAATGAGGCGAGACCGAGACCTCTATCGCAGAACTGAGTACAAGTTGGGTAAAAGAGTCAGATGGATTCTATCCTACAGGCTGACTTGAGGTGCAGAATAAGGTTGTGCCGAAAGGTTGTTTGGCACCACGACAAAGCGCCCATACAGGGTGACCCCTCGTCCGGACACTTACCAACTGAGGGGGTTTGCAAATCAACCGAGCGATCACTCGCACAGGCGGGAAAAAGGCACGAGTCATCGGCTCGGCGTTCCGAGACTGCTCCTCTGTTTACTGACTTACGCCGAGTGTAAGTGGTCTTTACGAGTAAACAGTCCATGTTAGCGTTTAGAGTTCTTCGTTTCACGAAGACCGTTTTGTTCTATGGATCTTGGCTCCAGACCTTACCACAACACTATTTTAACCTTAACAACTAGTCGCAACACAAAGGGGGGTAGAGTAACAGCCCCAAAGTCTAAATCAATAACCGCACATCTAACGATGGCTGTCTGTTTGCTATGCTTGCATGAGGCTGTTGTTCAAGGAGTGGGGGTATCGTCCGACTGAGGATGTAGCACGGCAACATGAACTCTCATGAGTCGGCAGATCGTGGATCATTCATCGCTTCAGGCTTGAGAGGGCAGGTGCAACTGCGGGATGAACTGTGGCTGGCTTCAATTATAAAAGAATGAGGCCATTCCCTTCCTCAATGGCTTTCTTTTTCTTCATCAGCTCACTTGACTGTCATCTCTAGTATCAAACTCCAGCTTCTCCAGCTTGCTTAAACACTCTAGCAATCTCTCCCGAGTCTCCTACAGTAACAACACCACTTCAAAATTCTTCAAATATAAACCAAAAACCGCCAAGATGCGTTTCTTCAGCACTCTCTTCCTTGCCACCTTGACTGCCACCGGCGTGGTCACGGCCATGCCCGTCGCCCAGCCTCATGATCTGACTGCGCTCGCCGGAGAGGGACTCCAGGATGCTGCCCCAGTTGAGGCTCTCGATCTTGAGACCATCATCGAGACCAGAGAGGCCAGGGGCCCCAACACTCCGGCTGATGTAGCGAAGCACGACGCCAACCACAAAAAGCAGGACGCTGGCAACTGTGGACAGGGCTGCAAGCAATCGCTTGCGTCGTATCATTCGCAAGCCTCTAAGGATTCCAAGAACTCCAAGGCTTCTAAGAACTCGAAGAACAAGAATGGGCCTCGCGCGGTCGAGAATGCTGAGAATGTTGAGGGGGCTGAGGTTGAGGAGGAAGTTGAGGCTTAGACCAGTGACAATCGATCTCGATACTGGGATAGTCTCGTTCTCGTGCTGGCAACGGTGAAATTGGAGTTTTGGATACAAGGGTATACAGTACAAGCTGTTGCTAGAGCTATAAATAAATGTCTACTTTGTACATCACTCAGTTATCCACGTGCTGGATCGCAGAGCGATATTCACGGGGATGGGTTGGCGGGCAGCGCGCAGCTTGTGAGCCACGATGCCATTCCGTTGGAACGAGTCTTATACTCTTGTTTAAGTAAGGATCTGCCTTACGCTTCCTACTTGCTCTCCATCTGTCCTTCGACCCTCGCCATCTCCAGCCTATTCAGGCCCCATTCACTCCAAGGTAGTGGTGTTGGCCGCTAGCCAGTGACCCATTTCGTGAATGATGTTCATCGTGTCGTAAAGAAATGTTTGAATCTGCCGTGGCTAGTTATTAGTAGCTGTTTCCGAACGGTCCATTTGGTCAACCTACGATACCCATTCCGGGGATGGGAGGGAGAACATCGCGACGCTCTCCAAGCCGCTCGTATCCAAAATTGGCGTGCTGCGCAATCGCAGTGACGACCAGGATCGAGAGAAAGACACCTCGGATATTCATCTTCGTGATTTGACTTCGGATTATTCGAGAATGGGTTGTTTTGTGCTTGCTAGCTGTCGATTTTGAGACGCTTGGTTCTGAGGTTCTGAGCGCGTGTTTGTGGTGATGATTGTGTTCCTGATCGCGAAAATAAAACCTCGAGGCTTGAAACAACACAAAATCTGCGACTGGTCGAATGTTTTCCCGCTTTTTTGAAGGCATCTGCTTAGTCGTTGAAACTTGGACCTGTGAATCACTGTTCATTGAGCGCGGGGCTTGCAAAGGTCATGATCCGGATCTTGCACGGGACTAGAGCGTCTTGCAAAGAGCCGACACCTCATTTTCATGGCCAACCCAGATCTGTGTGTGTCAAAACATCGCTGTCAGTTACTCGACTTAAGTGAACCACATGTAGAGTCATCCTCTTCGACGAAAAGAATAAGTATGTAAAGATGTTGATGTCGTGGACCGGCTCTAGATGCCAAACAGCGCATTGGTCACGGTGAGAATGAGGCTCTTTGACTCAGTAATGCTCAACAAGACACTCGAAAATGAGAAGGAGAAGAAACGTCTTCAAACCAAGAACAAGAGTGGGGGATTTCGGTTCCATACGCAGCCAATCATACCTCCGTGTGGTCACCGAAAAGCTGACAGGTTGCCTCAATCTGCCTGTCGAACGTGCCCGAGACAGCAACCTTCTGCAGCTGAAGGTTTTGGGCCTAGTAAACCTCCTCTTGTCTTACACCAGCTTACACCATACCACTTCAGGCCGCAGATGGGCTTTTTCCAGATCAATTTCCCATGAGGCACAGCCGCAACGCCATGAGGCAGCCAGGGGCTTTCCGCCATTTCCGGGGCAAGAAGCACCAGGCAGATTCGTATTCAGATGGAGCGACGTAAAATACATGGCCTCGACGAGACCGGATCTCGAGTGCATAAGTGCCATGATCGCCGACGCTCCGCTCTGTATATGTACGATGCGAAAATTGCGGATAGCAACTTGGACACAAGCAGCTGCAGTGTGACGCCAATCCACAGGCCAAGATGCGTCTCAAAAACTTCACCTCCTTTACATCGATCAAAGAAATTGTTCGCTCCAAGCGTTTCAAGCAGAAAGCCAAGCGTCATGAAAAGAATCAGAAGCGTAAAAAATCAAGGAAAAACAAAAGAAATAAGTTTGTGTTGTCCAGTTCTTTCATGCACTCGGGTCCCATGTTCACTCGACAAAGAGCATGTCCGGGTCCACATTCGGGCTAACATTTGACACCTTAGGGAGAAAAGGTTCGAGCCCAAAAATCAACATGAGGCCCAACATCAATTCTTACATGTAAGTGAGGACTCGGAAGAGGAAGTACCAGAAGCGCAATTTGCCTGGACTGCATCGCAAACTTTCGCACAGCCGCTCTCGTGGCGAAGGCCAGGTCATCTAGACCACGCGTTCCATGCCGACTCAGCTGCATACTGTCATCGAGGTTTTGAAACTCCGCCTTCCAGCCACCCATCACCAAACCCGACTCGGTCTTCTACGTTGAGCTCAATCTTGAGCAGCGGCGGAACTTCTTTGAGTTCTGCCACGTCAAAAATCAGGTTTCTATTCCACCGTCGACATTCGGACACTGGAATTTCAAGATCATCGCCACTTTCACGGCAGTTGGAAAAGCGGAACTCTGTCCCAGGTCTATCGCCCACCTTCTCCAGGCCTATCACGGAAGAAAGCCGCCAAGATAGTGTGCCTCCTCGAGCTGAAGGGGTGATCACAAAATCCGTTGCCCCGAAACAGGAAGCCTCGGGGTCTGCCCGGGTCATGGCGCAACAATCAATCGACCTTAAGGCGGCACGCGAGCGTCTCAAGGCATGGGGGCCAACTTCGGAAGCTTTTTCAACCATTTACGAATCGAAAATACGGCCGCAGTTGCTGCAAATTCTTGAAGAAAACAATCCTGTTGATGACTACACTGTCGCGGTTCACAATGACAACGGAAGTATGACTAGAGTTGTGGTGGTGACGACGCCCATGGAGCTTCCCGCAGACAACAGGGACAAGATTGAGAGTCACATCGTGTCGTGTTTTTCGGATTCTGAAGAGCTTCGAGTCGCGGTCAGGTTTCTTAAGGGCAATGTCAAGCGTACTGCTAGCACATTGGCTTCGAGTCAGGACGCAGACAGTGAGTCGAAGAGGCCTCGAAACTCTGGCAGGCACAATGTGAGAATGCTTGGGGACTCTGTCAGCTTTGAAGACAGCGACAGTGCCGCAACCCTAGGTCCAGCGATCAGTCTCGGTGGATATGATGGCTGGATTGTCAATTGGCATCTATTTCACGGCATAGCGAACTGGGAACACCTTCATGATCCATCAAAAGTCCCGCTTCACAGTCTAGTCCATCCAGCATACATAGACTGTCGCGAGAACGAACCCCCTTTCCGGATTGGGGAGCTGCAAGCCTACTCAGGAAGAATGTACAGAACAACTCGCCAATCGAGATCTCTGGAGCGTTACGTGGCAGGTGTCCCAGGAGAACGCGGGCAAAACGTGCAAGTGGTCACGGATTGGGCTTTCTGCAAAGCCTACAAAGATGAAGCTCAAAATTGTCTGCGCTATGCGCCGCCAGGCATTGAGGTCGATAATTTCTCCGATCCGATTCAAGGAGTGTTTGAGCAACATCCTCAATGTCAAATCGTCCAGACAACTGGCAGAAGCAGTGGATTCCGGTACGCTGTGGTATGCGAAGCACCGGCCGACGTCCGCCAGTATCCAAATATGCCCACAAGGGAATGGTATTTGCAGAATATCGATGGTGTATTGACGTCTGAAGAATGGAATTCCGAGGGCTCTGGCGTGTGCGGTGACTCGGGTGCCGCCGTAGTGCACGATGAGACGGGAGAACTCCTTGGGCAGATATGGGGTCGAAACGTGTACGATGATGATAGTCAAACACCCAGGATAACATACTTCACGCATTACTGGGACATTTTCGACGATATAAAGGAGCGATATCCCAATCTGGAAGGCCCGTCCCTCATTCCCAAGCCGAAATGCCATCCCTCGAATAACGCGAATGCAAGAGATGGTGCTCCCAGCCCTTCGAGAGCCGAAGCCGACGAGAAGACTCTCAATCCATCGCGACCGCGGAGCCGGGCATGTTCGTCCATGGGCGGTGCCGATGGCGTATTCGAATCCTTCTCCCAGTCCACTTTAGCTCAGAGTGTGACTAATCTGGTAGGATCTGGTGAAGGCAAGGCAAAACAGAACCATGTCGGAAAAGCTTTGGAGGGCGAAATGGGATGCGGACAACGAGACTCTCATTCCCGTAACCCTGCTAGAACCTCGGCGGATGATGACACGGATGTACTGGTAATGCGACGGAGCTCGGCGATGGTGACCGTTTAATGCTCTTTTTTTCTTATCCTTTTCCGATTACAAAGGTCGGTTTTTCTAGATTTAGCATGCTTCATATCCTTGCCTACTTAAGCCAGCTAATCGAATGCGTTGCTCCATGGGGCATGTCAGATATCATGGTCCAACTTGAATTCATTGATGCTGTGCTGATATCCGTAATAAGTCCGAGACGCGCTCAGGAATGCCATATGTGGTGTCATTCCTACCTCATCGGATCCGGTGAACTCAACTGATAACTCCCCGACTCCCCGACCCGGAGTGGAGCACGGCGTTGCCGGAGGAAGATTTTGCCTGAGAGCGATGCTCTCGGGAATTTCGGACTTGAGTTCTCATTTGAAACTAGGCTTTGCAGAAATTGCGCTAGTTGACTCGAGATGCCCTGTAATTGCTGTTGTGTCTTAAGGTGCTTACCCTAGAAGCGAATTCGACCTGTATGGAGGAAGATACAGTTGAGATGACGGCTCCTCGAACTGATGCACAAGTACCTCAATTCGCCATTCTAGGCCCAACTCATTATTAAGTGATTTATAGAAGCATGTCCGTCGGTGATCTGAAAGACCTTGTGTGGCAATTCCTGCGGGTACGACGAATGACAAGTGGAGGAGGGATCATCTGCGCAGCCGTAATTTTAGGCTCGGTGCCCCCCTTATACGAAGGCGGTACCGAAATTGCAGCGTGCGCTAAGAGGGGTCAAACCGAGTGATACGAGAAGATGAACATGTTATTTTGGGTACTTGTAGGTTGAGTACCGCAGCACAATCGTCAACTTGAAATCTTTGCTTCGTACACCGATTCGATACTCTAGCAACTCGCCATGATGAAGGGTTTCACCAATAGCGCAGGATACGTTGCGTTATTAGCAGCGTTCGTTAGCGAGACCATCGCTCTGCCGGTTCAAGATGCGCCGCTGAGAGTTGAGTGGCGATCCCTGTCAAGCGCCGCAAAAGCAGACTACATCAGCGCAGTAAAGTGCTTAGATGGGTTGCCGTCAAAGATCGGTCTCGAGACGTCGCGTTACAACGACTTTCCCTATGTCCACGCGCAGCTCAACAACGAAAGTGCGTCTTTTCTTTCTAGCCGTCAACCTATGGCATCATGCTCACAGAAGTTCGCAGTCCACTTTGTCGCTCAATTCCTCCCCTGGCATCGGTACTTTGTACACATCTACGAAACAGCCTTGAGAGATGAATGCAAGTACACAGGCCCAATGACATACTGGGACTGGACCCTTGACTCTGAAAACATGTCCAAGAGCCCCGTCTTCTCCAACGACACCACCGCCGGATTCGGGGGAAACGGCCTGAATGGCGGCTGGGTTCCGCCGACGCGACCAAACCCGTTGACCATGTGCGTAACCGACGGGGCTTTCGCCAACTTTACCGTGTCTTACTACACCACGACAGCGCTCTCGCATTGTCTGAACCGCGGTTTCAACGACGGTATTGGGGTGAATGCTGGCCTTTATGAAGGCGGGTTGTACTCGCCCGAAAAGATCTCAGGAATCATCGAAACCTCTGGCAACTTTTCTACGTTTGCGACTACTTTGGAAAACGGGCCCCACGGTGCGATTCACTCAGCCGTTGGAGGAGACCTGTTTCCTTCGACATCTCCAAACGGTAAGCTCTCACCACCCACGGTATTCGGGCACCTGAAGACTGACAGAGAGTACAGATCCCTTGTTCTTCCTCCACCATGTGCAGATTGACAGACTTTGGTGGCTCTGGCAGCAGGCTGATCCCGCAAGCCGGACGTTGGACTTTTCGGGACGAAGGAACCTGCCCTCGGGGGAAGCTGATACTCGGCCAGCGTCTCTGAACGACACGCTGCCAACGCTTGGCTTAGCGGCTGATATTCCTATTCAACAAGTCATGTCAACAACAACCGACTTACTGTATTATAAGTACTAGTGTACATATTTTAACTACTACTTTGGGGACAGCTGTTCGGCCAGAAAGCATTCCGCCTCGTAGTACTCACAGCGCTTCATTCTCAGCTGCCGTTGTAGGGCTCCTGCAGGAATCGCCGCTAATCCATGCAAGCACAGGGGCCCATTCCTCGAAGGAAGTGGAAGCAGACAAACGGACGAGATGCCTGGGTGTTCCTCCTAATGTTGCTTCGAATCATGCTATTGACATGATTCGCCCAACGCCTTTTGCGCCCCAATCTAGCGCTTAAAACCACCTGATGACGAGGGGTATGCAATATGGCAGCCTAGGAGAGAAAATAATCTTTAACGAGGAAATACTCCGCATGTTACCCGATGCGCAAAAACAACAAATCTCAACCATAGACCGCGGCCATTTGACGATTCTTGCCGAAGGCATTCGCCAGGGACGTTGGGGACAGAAACAACTCTGCAAAGGTGCAAAGCCCAGGATATCAAGATGGTTTGCTCTTGCTGCCGCAAAGTCCTCGAGCTCAAGAAAGACTACACGTTGATCAGTAACGAGCGGGACGGGGAAGGTACCCTCATACCACATCATCGCGATGGCGAAAGCCTGACGGCCTCGGTGGACGCCGGGTGTTACATTTGCAATCGACTGTGGGCCGCCCTGGATATCGAAGAGCGATGCAAGGTTCGGCGGTCAGTCGGTGAGCTGGCGAAATGGGGTGGTCCAGCGACTAAGTCACCTCTCACGTCGGTGTTTTGGGACGGCGGAGCAGCATTTGCTTATCCCCGCGCCTTCTTGCTACACCTCGCTTTTGACCGAGGGAAAATTTTGGATCTAGGGAGAAATCAAAGGAAAGGATTCTTCAGCCTAACAGTTTTGCTTCTTCCACAAGAATGTATGTTTACTTGCTACGAAAGAACACCTCAAGACTTCGAGTACATGTCCACGGATGCTGATCTTAGACAAAGCCTACGCGCCTCAATACCAAATCAAGTCGTACTCCCGTAGTACGAGATCCGAAGAAACCTTCCGTGTCGCACAGAAATGGATTACGGAATGTCTAGCCGAACATCCACATTGCGGTGCCAAACCACATGCATCTACCACTGCTCAGTGGTACCCCAGTCGCCTCCTGGACACAGGACCTCTCGACCAGGAGAGCTCCATTTGTCGACTCGTCCTACCGAACGTCACCCCTATCCAAGGCTCTTACGCAACTCTCAGCCATTGTTGGGGTATGAAGGAGTCTTTCAACCTGACAACGAGCAACTACGCACAACTACAGCAGGAAATCCCATTCGAAACCCTCCCTCCCTTGTATCGTGACGCCGTTGAAACCAGTCGCCGCCTTCATATTCGATACCTGTGGATTGACTCACTGTGTATTATCCAGCACGGGGATAACTTCACTGATTGGAAACAAGAATCAACGCATATGGACAAGATCTACTCGGGATCCTTCGTCAACATATCAGCGGCCGATGCCCCTGATGCGAATCACCCCCTCTTTCACGACCGCAATCCGGATGCTCTGTATTCGCAGACTATAGAGCTTCCTGTCAGTTCCCTCACTACTCGTTTCATCTTAATGGACTATAACTTCTGGAGAACAGAAGTTTCCAGCGCAGTCATCAATACAAGAGCCTGGGTGCTTCAAGAGAGACTCCTCTCTCCGAGAGTATTGTACTTTGGTCAACGACAAATTCTATGGGAGTGCCAGCAAAAGGAAGACGCTGAGATCTATCCCGAAGGCTTGCTAATAGATCTATCACGATTCCCCAGTCCTTTCAAGGGCTTTGGCCACAACCAAATCGGCTGGAAGCCTCGAGACCACGGCGATCTCTCAAAGTACCAATACTGGTGCAACATTGTGAATGCTTACACCAGGGCTAAGTTGACATTCCCCGTCGACAAGTTGATTGCACTTTCAGCTGTCGCGAAGACTGTGAGAGAGTTACTCCAGGATAGCTATGTTGCAGGGATGTGGCGCCGCTACCTAGAGCGAGAACTGATGTGGTCCGTCGCTGTCGGCGAGGCGCAAGCTAGGCCATCAGTCTACCGGGCTCCAAGTTGGTCATGGGCGGCAGTGGATGGACACATTACTCCGGGTATCATGGATCTCGAAGCAGTGGAGATATTGATCGAGGTACAGGATCTGCATCTCGACTATATTACAAGCGATACGACAGGCCTGATCAGCGGTGGATGGCTACAGCTCTGGGGAAGCCTCAAGAAGCTTGAGCTTCTGCCCGATGCTTTTTTCAGCAGTCATAGCAACGACTTCGAGTTTCTTATGATGGTTGTGAATGGTGTTCCAGTCAGTGTCCGCGCCGATTCGGTCATGAAAGAATATCAACCACATGTCTATCTCGATGACAATCAACAGTGGGAAAGCACACAGAACCATCAACAGGAACTATTCTGTATGCCAGCTAGAACAAGACCAGGTAATGATGGAAGCATCTACGTGCTATTGTTGCAGCTTGAAGACGGGAAAAACGGCACCTTTCGTCGCATCGGGATCGCTCGCGGTTGGGGCAAGGAGGTGAGGGAGAGTTTGCTAGCATGCAATGCAGAAGAGAGTACATTGCCATGCGTAAGGTATGAAGGAGGCCGACACCTAGTGCGGATCGTTTAGTTGGGCAGGGCCTCCAAGGCAACTAGACGATATGAACAGGATGAGGCAGCAAGAGCCCACCCGGCACGACATGGAGGGCTTCATGGGCTTCTGCAGATAGAAAATGAAGAAGAGAAGTAGATCACCGCACTGAGCGATAAATCATTGGACAGTGCGCGTGTCACTCTGACTTCCAGTAGGTGACTAAACAGAACGTTGGTGTACGTTTTCCAAAGGTGGCTTTAATTGCCTGAAGTCGAGAGTTACTGTAGCAATTTGTTGTAAGACGCTTTATTGTTAACTTCGTGTATAGCTGAGATATATACGACGGGTGTCTACCCACTAAGGTATTGTCGAACTACTCGACCTGAGTGCTTACCCAGCAAAGTCTGCTCAAATTCACAGACTGTGAAAGAAGAGATCGCACTAAGGTAGCACGCACAACAGAATGCATGGGCGTTTCTCAAGTCGATTGACGAAAATAAGGCACTTATTTAGAGTTGATCTAAGCTGGGTCGGACGCTGCACATCAGCGGGTATTCGAGGTTTTAGCGCACGAAACAAAAAGACAGCCCATCGGCACGTCTCGGTCCAACAACTGTCGCCATCCCACCCCAGCGAGCACGACATCAACAAAATCCCTTTGGCTTTCCTCTTTCTCATCACCGGTTCACTTGGCACTGCAACGACGCCGCACCGCAGGGCAAACGACCAGCCCCCCTCGATTGTCTCCACTGTTGTCTTAGTTGGGGTCCCCAGGCTCTCACCCAACTCCAGAGGACCGCCAAGTAACTTGCAATAAGGGCCGTTGTCAAAGGCCCCAAACGACCTTCCGTAACTGGAAGGCCTTTGGACTGAAGTCACTGAACCTCTGGCTGCCCTCGCCGCTGCCCAGACAGCCCAGCCTGCTGACGCCCTCTTGGCGGCGATGCTCATCTCACTTGACCTGGCCACTCCAAGACAGATACGCATTTTCAAGGCGTAGAACAGCACTGATAACTGGCTGAAGCTACCCTCGCGAGCTTGCCGGCATTTATGACGATTCAGCCTCAAGAGGCAGCTCAGGGAGCTTGAGAAGCTATAGCGACCGTCACCTCGTATTATCAGTGTCAGCCACGGCGGCACATACCCCCGAGACCACACCCATGCTGGATTCCTTCTGGAAGCACGCAAAGTTTTTAAGATTTGGCTGGTTGGGGTGGAGCAACGGATGTTGGCTCATGAGGCTATTTTGTGGTTTCCGCGACATCTGGTTCGTCAGAGCCACAGTCCCCCCCCCCCTCCCCCCAATGTTCATCAATGTTCAAATCTCGATAGGTTGCTTTCATTCATCTCAAGTGCTCTTTCTCTCGCCCGTTTACTCCTTGGTATCCCACCGTGCCGCCCTTGTGGTACCAGGCAGCGAGTCGGTTCGCAGGTCGAACCTTGCGTGACGTTACAGTGCCATGACGTGCGGGGACATCTCAGCAGCAGGCCCTGGGATGATCACTTTCACCGTTTGTCTTGGGTTGCGACGCAGCAACGCAGCATTGCAGCAGGTAGCTGTCTGCAAGGCAGGGACACATATATAGCTCCCGCCGGCCTCTCTAAGAACAGCCCGCTTGCCGATCCGCTTGTTTTAGCTTCGAGCTCTACACATTCTCTCGTTGGAACTCCTCCCGGCAGTGCTTGCCAGCACGTGAAAGCCGTGTACATCACAGGAACTCGAGCTCGGCCGATTCTCGCTTCCTGTGCCGACACCAAGCTATGAGTTCACCACTCAAACACGATCACCATGTCGGGGAGGACAGGCACGTCGTACGGGACGATGCTTCGGGTGAAGAAGTAGGAGTGGTTAAACAGCAGGAAGTCTACGCTTTCGATGAGTCGCGCAAGATTGGTGTTACCGGCGCGGTCTTCCTCATCCTAAACAAGATGATCGGTACCGGTAGTAAGTAACAAACGGTCCGTCACGATGTGTATCACACTCACACGCAATTGCTCAGTCTTCTCAACTCCCTCCGGTATCTTCCAGTCGACTGGCTCCGTCGGCGTCGCTCTCATGCTATGGGTCATCGGCGGTGTCCTGACCTTCTGCGGTATGAGCGTCTTCCTCGAATTCGGCCTCGCCATCCCTCGATCCGGCGGCGAAAAGAACTACCTCGAGCGCGCCTACAAGCATCCCAAATACCTAGCGACCTGCGTGCTCGCTTCGCAGATGATCTTACTCGGCTTCTCATCCGGAAACTCCCTTGCCTTCGGCCGGTACATCTTATTCGCGTCGGGATCCGAGTCCCCAGATGGTTGGACTGCCCGTGGCATTGGTATTGCCGGCGCCACCTTCGCTGTTGGCATTCACGCTATTACACCCAAATGGGGCATTCGGCTTTTCAACGTCCTGGGCGTCTTCAAGGTCATCGTCCTGCTATTCATCGTCTTTTCTGGGTTTGCTGCTCTGGCTGGCCGACGTCGCGTGCCAAACCCTCACAACTTTGACAATGCTTTCCGAATCGAAGAGGGAGAAGGCTACGGTAACGGTGGTGTTTATGGATACGCGACAGCTCTGCTTCGTATCATCTACAGTTACAAAGGCTGGGAGAATGCCAACTATGTCGTGGGGGAGTTGAAGAACCCGCGCAAGACCCTGGCTATTGCTGCGCCCCTAGCCATCGGCGGCGTGACAATTCTTTACGTCCTTGCCAATGGTGAGTTAATTTATCATCCAAAATCTCTATCAACTTTGCCTGTCAACTGACTGGCATTTCTAGTCGCTTACTTTGCCGCTATCCCCAAAACCGAGCTCGCTACGTCTGAAGTCATTGTCGCAGGTGTCTTCTTCCGCAACGTCTTTGGCAACAGTGCCGGTGCCAGAGCTCTTCCAGCATTCGTCGCCATCAGCAACTTGGGAAATGTGCTTGCCGTAAGTTTTGCACATGCTCGCCTGAACCAAGAGTTGGCAAAGGAAGGCCTCTTGCCGTTCAGCACATTCTGGGCATCCAACAAGCCATTCAATGCTCCAGCCGCAGCCGTACGTGCCTAAAATCTGCATCACATGTCCTCAAGCTAATGTACTGCTAGCTTTTCCTCCATTGGATCGTTACTGTCATTGTTCTTGTCGCACCTCCTGCGGGACCTGCTTATAATTTCATTACAGATCTTTACACGTACGTCTAGCCCCCAACTTGAGAAACAACTCTTTGCTAACACACAAACAGGTATCCCGGCGCATGGATCAATGCATTTGTTGGGATGTAAGTTATCCTTGGAGATTTACTTCGTTGAATATTAGCTGACATGATAACTAGTGGTCTTCTTTACCTCCAATGGAACAAGAGAGAGAACTGGACATCACCATGGCACACATACTTCCCCATCACTATCCTCTACGTCCTGGCCAACGTGTTCCTCTGCATCGTTCCCTTCATCCCGCCCACTGGATCGTGGACCGCGGAAGGGTACCCTTACTACGTCTTCCCAATTGTTGGCGTAGGCGTGCTCCTTCTTGGTGGTGTGTACTGGGGTTTCTGGACCAAGATCTTCCCCGCCATAGGTGGCTATAAGGTCGTGGCCGAGAGGACGTATGACGAGGAGGGTCACGAGGTTATTCGATACCGTAAGGTCAGCACGAAGCACAGCCACTCAGGGCCGATCGATTGAGACCTCGGACCATGGATAGCCGCCATGGTTGGCTGAAGCCGCTGTTTACATAGCATTCTATTGTTACCAGCATATGCCCAAATAGGTACCCGTCGGAAAGCTCGAAACCTTAGTTGGTCGCAGTCACATTGATGGTATATCTTGGGGGCAGCATAAGAGTGTCCTGATTGAATGCATATGCACATAAACGTAGTAGCTTGGACCATGGTATTCGAAACATGGCAACGGAGCTCGGCAACTACACATGGACATCATGGCTTTATTCAAATTTATGTGGAAAGTGTATGGTATTGACACCAAGGAGAATTTATTAATGAATTGTCTCAAACACTATCCATACAGCTCCTGACCCGAACGCCGCGCAGTTCAAAAGTGATTGCTAGAAGATTTACTCGAGGCGCTTGTCCTCTAGACCCTCGGTATCACCGGGCTCACGGTACTCTCCGGTAGGCTTCGCACCACGGGTGCGCTCTTCCACGATATTGCTCTTGTCGATGGCCTCCTTGTCATCGCGCTCTATACAGGCATCAGAAACTCATGTACGTTCGATGAGATACAACATGAACTTACCTAGCTGAGCATCGGAGTCGGCAGTCTCAGCATCAATAGGGTCCTCGACCTTGGCATCGTCACCGAGGACGCCGATGGGCTCGCGGTCACCCTGGCGGGACACGTACTCGTTATCCTGAACGTCTCCGGTGGGGGCTTCAGAAGACATGATGATATTGATAGTGTTAAATGGAAGTGAGTATGATGAAGAAGTTTATAAGATATCGTTGTTGATGTTGATGGGTTGGGATCGTTGCTTAACTATTTGGTGCCCTTCCGCCAGTTCATATACAAGTTCCTCTTCACTATCAATAATCAGCATTGCGCTCTAAGCTGCAAACACCATAGTCACGAATGTTGAGATCATTTTCGAGCTCACAGATTGTCTGTAAGTCTATGACGCTGTCATTTACGCGTAGAAACGCGCATCAAAGGGGCTCCGACCTCCCTGGCGCATAACCACCGTGCAGAAATCAATTAAATCGACCTGCACGCGACATGGAGCAAAGTGTCCGATGGGCCCCCTTGAGCTAACGGCGCCACCTTTGATTGCAGCGAGCATCTCAAAGCGATAGCCCAGCCGCCTGGCGCGCATTGATAGATCTGCCTTAGTCTCATGGAATGATAGCGCCTATGGCAACGAGCGCCAGCCGCCTCATTAAGGTGCCTTAGCATGGGAAAGTCACCAAGTAAGACTACCATCCGTATGGATACTAGTAGTTACCTTCGCTTCAGCCTCGTTCCCGGATCTCTGACCCCAGCGATCGTCCCTGATCGATCGCGTCAAACCCGATTGGACAATGGACAAGAGTCATGATGCCTCCTGAAATCGGTGGGATGCCCAGCCCCCGACTTTATTCTCGGTAAGTGCGGGGACTGCACCAGTAAGGCTGATATCGCACTATTACTCTCCAACATCTTGAGCTCTTGAACTCGAGTCTAGCTTGAGTTTTTATTCAGAAAAAATCATTTGAATCATATCAGAGTCTTGAAAAAAAGTTTCAGTTTGAAATGGACTCATCCATATCTATGGGGAGTTGACGATTGGCTTTACCAAACGCTCTTGCCATAGAGGATAACCAAAGACGAATCTGCTCACCGAGATCCCCAGAGGCCTAGAACCAGCCGAAGACCTCACCGAAATAAACTCCCTGCGCACGATCGGTCTGACATCATGTCGTGTTTCGCTCAAGTGGGCAACAGAAACGGGTGCGCGGGCCGCATCATATTGACGTCTCCCGTCGCCCCAACACACCTCAGCTCCGCACCGAAACAGCAATGATCCTCGGGCGTCTCAAACTCTTACATCACCCCCCTTCACCAGCAAGCAACCGGGAAACTTTGGGGCGAGCCTTGAAAGCAAGATTCAGCCTGCCGAGTCGGGTACCAAGTGCCAGCAGAACGAGTGCCCAGTGATACAAGGTCACCCCGGTGGTGTGAGTTCCAGTGTTCAACAGCAAGCAAATTTGCTATCTCATAATCAGATAACTCCCCACTGACAATGCTGCCTTTACTTCCGTGCTTTGATTTCTTCCTTATTCACACAAAACATTTGGATGATCCACGATAGTAATACCAAGAATTCTGACGTTCCACAACCGTCCTGTTCTTCCCCACCCTGGGTCTCTCAGCGCTTCTATCGATCTGATCGTGCATTTCCAGCCCCCGGGCGCAACAAAGTCAACTCGTCACTACCCGGACTAGGAAGGGACCAAAGCGAGCGGCTTCATCAATAGCCTGCAACTCCGCAACGCCCCCGCGTCCCGAGCCTTTCCCATTCCGGCCCTTGTCAAAGGAAGTCCAGGCACATCCCACGTGGTGATCGTGATCCGTATCAGAATCCGCCCATCATGCCGCGCCAGGAACGTCACCACAAGGAGCGCGTTGTCTACGACGACGACCCATACTATGACGACTACGAGCATCCAAGGGCCTCGCGCCGCGTTTCTCGTAGCGCCCATGAGTACGAGGCCAGCGGTGGTCACCGGCGCAGCACTCGCCGCCACGATTCCTACAGTCCTGTCGGCCCTGTCCGCGCCCGCTCGGAGAGCTATGGTCGACCCCCTGCCCGAAGGCATGATACATACGCTGAGTACTCCGACAGCGGAGATGAGAGGCCTCGTCGACGTGGCCATGGGCAGAGCAGCAGCAGCCGTCGAAAGGATAGCAAGACGTCTCGACTCTCGAGGGGACCGGAGCGTAACGATTCTGACAAGGCTGCGATCATACAAGCTGCTGCTACCGCCGCCGTCGTGGCGGGCGCAAGTGAGGCGTGGAGAATGAGGAAGGAAAAGACGTCCTGGTCTCAAAAGGGGACGAGGATGGCGACGGCTGCGGCGGGTGCTGCTGCCATCGCGGCTTTCAACAACAATACCAATGGGCAGCATGGCTCAAAAGACGGCGGTGGGAGCAAGAAGGATACTATCCAGGCTACGCTCGGAGGCTTGCTGGTGAACCGACTGGCAAATGGAGTAGGCAAGAAATAACGGAAAGGATATCAGGCGGACAAAGGCATCGGTGGAAAGCGCGATAACAACGAAAAAGCTCCCTTGTTGCCGACTCGTGAAGGGCTACGAGATTTATGATTATTTAGAGACCTCTGACGACGGATAATGGATACCAGGAGTTCTGGACTTATTTTGATGTTATTTACCCTTCATGAAATTGATGCGATAAATTTCCGTGGTTTGCTTCAAGAGATGCCTCTCGCTGCTGCCGCAACCTCTCTTGGCTTGGATTGCGAGTTCTAGCTGAGCGCTCAAGTTGCTAAGGTGCGCGCCCACGATCGAAATTTACATCTTAATCTAAGGCACCCATGTGAAGTGAACTCTGTTCAAGGATTTTATCTCTGGGTCTCATCAATTCACCAGGATGAGGCTTCTCTGAAGATCAAACTCAGGATCACCGGATACGGGGCCGTCAAGAGTCTATCAGGTAAACGATACACTTGATTGGTCACACAAGGATGGTGAGGGTAGTGATACTGTTTTTCAGAACACATGGACCAGGATAAGTATCCGTCTCGGTAGGTAAGATCGGGATATAGCAACAAGCTTTGTTCCAGGAGGCCAGAAGGGTCCAATTATCATACGCGTAGCCTTTGGATATCATCGCGGAAATGTGGTTTTTAGCAGATGACCTAGACTAACATAAAGCATAATTGATTCGTACCAAATTCTGAGGGTTACCTCAGCTCAATTCACATCTCAGCAACGTTGGCTCTTCCGATTCCCGAGGCGATAGTATCATCCGCTAGCCTCGATGTTGGCTCAAGTAGTTCATGATGAAAATGGACGACACTAGATTCCGACTCGTCACGCCGTACACTGTTCAGATGGTCAAAAGGGCTAACAATTAAGTAACTAGAGATTGAAGAACCCCACAAGAAGTCTGATTTACCAAGATTATGAGGATTTTCCTCGTGAGGTGTTTCACCATTGCCTTCAAGCACATGGAGTCCTAGTCCAGCCCGGAGGATAACCCGTCATTGACAACTCACCCGCACCAGATTCAACCTCACGCTTCCATCCCATGTCGACTGATCCACCCTTAGTCAGAACATAATTAGCCGCCTGGCAGCGGAGCCACCCGTTGATAGCCGGGTGGTTGCACTCGGCGTGGTCCATAAGAGCGTTCTTGAGGTTCATGACCTGGTTCAGAATTTTCGAGTGCTCTTGGTGAAGTTCACGATTGCGAGCCTCGGCAGTATCTTTGGCTGACTCGAGGTCGGCGCTCTGCTGCTTCTGCTTCTGCCAGTTGCGGGCCGATGCTCGCCTATGGCGCTCACGGCCGAGAGCCGGCGGCTGTGTGGCGGGGATAGTACTGTGGCGCCTCTGCAAGACTGGCTTCCCAGGCGCTTGTGGAAATTTCTCGGCAACATCGTTGTTCGACTTTCTCTTCTTTTGGGGAGGTGCTCGCTCCTCATCGACCTCTCGTCCGTCCATTACTTCGCTAGAAGCGAAGCTATGACGACCTGTAGTCTCTCCACTCGTAGGTGGTGTAAATCCGTAGGATGAGTTCATGCTGATCGGAGATTGTGTGGCGGATGGAAGTGAATAGACAACGGGCAGGCTTGGTTGTATCAAAACGGGTGCATTAGAATAGTCCCAGAAAGCCGAATCCATGCCAGAGTCTAGAGGGAAGTATGGCGTTGTAGGTTGGAGATTATCTGAAGTCCACCAGTCGACTGGACCAAACTCGATAGTAGATTGAGTACTGCAGAGGTTTCCGTGAAGTGCATTCACATTCCCAGTTATCGGGTTTCCGTCCATACTGTTAGACCGCGGAGTACTAGAGCTGGAGATAGTATCGTTGTAGTAAGTCATATCCCTCGGCGATACCGGGATATCGAATAGAGTCGTAGAGCATCGTCGTGCCATTGGATCGTAAGGTTGTATTCCACTCCAGGAAGGGGCCTGGTAAGCGACAGATGCCTGGTCGTGGACGCTTTCTATAGGCTCGAAAGGTGAAGTGATAGATTGGTTGAACTTGGTATCCACTGGGGTGGTCGGTAGTATTTGATGTAGCATCATAAGCCGTTTTTCTTCTCCACTAAGGTTTTGTTCAATTATCAGAGCATCTGAAGGCAAAAGGATGTTGCGGCTGTCAATGCCTCCGTGGACCGTATCAAACTGAACGCTGTAATCCAAGCAAGGTTGGTTGGGCTTTTGGCTTAGGGCCGCAGAGACTTCCAGAGCAGCGCCAGGTTGATTCTCAATGCCTCTTGGCTCTTGCAGTCCGCCTTGAAGCTTGTCTCGCGGTCGGTTGTCGTAGTTGTAGTGGCCTCCGCAAGAGAGACTTCTTGAGCAAGGTTGCCCGCCATCACACTGTACTCCAGTCAGACTAAACCTGAGAGTGGACATACAAAGCTTGCTTATAAATTTACATTCGCCTTCTGTTGTCGACAAATATCGCACGCTTCCTTGTCGAAGATTCCTGGTTTACTGTGGTTTCTGCTCTTCAGTGTAAGGTTTGATTGAGTGGTGCTGGCCATAGCCTATTTCTACACGTTAGAGACGTTCGTTTCAGTCAACCTCTAGGTTGGTAATGACTTACAACAGCAATCAGGTCGGTCCTCCCGGCAGGATTCGATGTACTTGTGATCTCCCAGTTGTTATGGTTGAGTCCGCGCCGTGCTCAATGGTCTAATTACCACAAGGACTCGGCAGCTTTGCGTCTTGCTATCAATTCTCACATCGCTCAAAACTCATGACGATCATGGGGATCGAGCGAGATCGTTTCCCGTTGTCCGCCGGCTTGGAGTTTCCGTGATTCTATGAGATCCCATGTAGGCGACGGGAGATAGTTGGCTTGGAGCCGCTGCTTGCCTGCCTATGGATCAGTCCAGGCGGACGCTTCTTAATATGTGTCGTTGCCATGGGCGCACAGGCTTTCCCCGCAGAGATTCGCAGCTCAGAAGACCCTTGCCCCTAACGCGGATGCAGCCGCAGGTTAACAGCCGTGAAGCGATGCAGTGTGACGCTGCTCTTGTTGCTGGTGACTTGAGAGCTGCCTAATGTACATGTAGCGCCCCTCCAAAATTGACATTTGGTATCCAGACAGAGCTACAAACTGATCTTGTAGTCTCCTACAGCGAACATGAAGCCTGGCCACACCTCCCTTAGACTGACAGTTTGAGCGACAGATCAGCCTCGGCGTATCATGGGCTCGCATTCCAGCGCGCACCCACCGGCACAAGTTTTCTCAAGCTACCAGTGACATTCTCTAACTTTAGGGGGGGATCTGTGTGTGCTGCGGAGACATGTGCCTACACTGGGTGGTTTGAGGGAGGGCGTAGCATGTGGTAAACGACGTGGAAGAAGAAATGAAAAATTGGGGCGAGAATGGAGTCCAATCGGAAAGTCAGGAGAGCGATCTTAGTGCATTTCGCATTTCCAATACGATCGCAACAATTTGCGAAGGCTTCAAGAACAGCGGAAGGGTCTAGACCTTCTGCAAAGACCATTCGCAATGGTCTCCAGGCTATTTCCGTCGATATGAGAGTGCAAGGGACAGGATTGTATTCAGATGTACTGGAGCAACGACAACGCCGCCTAGTACCATCGTCCCAATATCGAGAAAGAAAGTCTGGCTACATTCTAGACCATTCATGGTTATATCTCCGAGAAAGATCTGCAAGAGCCTGGAGTCCGGAGTGTACTCCGGTACTCGTCATTGGTTAATGTTTTCCGGGGTAAATCGGTGGCAGACGTGAGCGATGAATAGGAATGGTGATCTTTCTCATTGGAGGAATAGATAAGCAACTCTTTGCCCCCTCCCTTCCAGCCCCTCGAAACTGCAGGTCTTTCCTTTCGGTCAAGAATTGGTGTCGCACAAAAGGTCGATGAATACATGCATACAGTACTGTACAGCAGCCTCCAGCAGGTAAGATGAGGGGTCAAAGTCCCGTTCGCCTCCCCGTAACGGACGCTCTGTTGAGCTTATCAGCATCAATCCATTAACCAGTCGTCACCTCTACGGAATATATCGACTAAGGTAGTGCTTTCAATGATCCTTCAAATCACAAGTTTTCTCAACTCAGGAGTCCATGGAGTACGTACACTGTCAGCTGTTCAACGGCATATCGACTTGACCGAGCCCCTTTTACATGCGTGACCAGCCATGTGATGCAGCAATGATCATTGCACCAGAATCATCAGGGTTATGGTTTAATGTTCAAAACGGTGTGATCGCGTACCCTTCGCAGTTGCAAGCTAGAAATTTCTTTTTCTGGTAAAAGTAGAGAAAATTTCCTAGCTATCCTGAAGATCACTCTCAATCCACACCAACCACATCAAATTCCTGCTGTCTCAGCCGCACTTCCTGCGGATGATGTTAGCGTATGTATGCAATCTTTACCGCTCCTTGGGAACCCCATGGACACCTAATCGAATGGTCTTCATAGACAACGTGGTCAGCGGTCGGTGGCTCGCTGAAACTTCATCAGCTATTCCCCTTGTCACGGTGTCTCACACGGCTACATGTGGCTGGGACATGGACTGATATAAGCTTCGGTAGGTACATTCACTAAGCAATGGGCCATCGGCAGTTGAATTATGTAGTTGAGTTGTATGCAGATCCTGGTTACCATAGCGGCGATATCTTCTTTCCCCTGAGCGAGGGCCATCTTTGAGTCTGGATTTGTAGTACTGACCTGGCTGGCCAGAGTCAGAACCAAGAATCTTGCCAGCCTTTTCTAGATACTAGACCCATCAAACTCGAGGCCGTGTGTCTGGATGCTACAACCTGTCAACGTACAACGAGGCCTCCGAGGAGATACGATCATCGTGGTATGTGGTGTAGCCGAAGGTTCTTGTGTCAGCCAAGCTAGTAGGATTGAACTTGCATCGCGCATAACATCCTTGGAGCTTACTGGGCTACTTCATATCAGCTAACTTGCCGCATCGACAGCAATACGTGGATGAAGTAATGCAAGCTAGCCACTCGACCTATTGGAATACGGTGTAGGATGCTGTCCCTCGGACGGTGCGGTCAGACGCTACATCTGTGAGCATCTCCTCCACACCATCCTGGCAACGCTCAACATCGAATTTAGGGGTCGGGGTTGCCACCTCTAATAAGCAGACCCCTCTCATGATCATCCAATCTACAGCTGTCCTTACCTAGACAGCCACCAGCTAGCCATAAAGTCAGCACGGTCTCATGTTGACCCCATTTTCTCTTGCCCCAAGATCTACGTACATACCCATGTGCAAGGAATGCGAACCACTCAGCCGGCGCCGGGCCCAGACCGATCCAAAAGTTGTCGTGCTTGCTGTCGCCATACCGGTACTCAAGTCCGGAGTCTTTGGAACGACAAACTAAGGAACGAAACATTGGCTCAGCACTTTAGATGATTCAAATTGTGGCAAAAGCAATATTTCCCACGTAAACTTTGCGTTAAGATCCTCGGGCATACGTGCTCTACGCGAGATCGGATTCAATCTCCTTAAGGGCGGTATGACAGTTGAACTGCTAGGGGTATGGTCACGAGACTATTTGATTAAATCTGTATTACCGTCGTTTTGACTCACACGAAGTTCCCAATCTTGAATTTCCTAGATAATGAGGTGCCGGTGTTTCGCTCTTGTGGACCTAGCCTAACAGCACATGCAGGCCTGACTGAAATTCCGCACCTTCGACTAGCAAGCTTGACCAACGTCAAAAAAGCGGAACCGTTAGTGCGGACAGTACATAGGAACGTCAACTATATATCCCTTCGATAAGGAAGGATTCCATCCTGCCTTGATTTTAAGACTATCTGCAACGATATGTTTGTACTACCAAGTACCCTACTCAAGAGACGGTGTATTGAAAGCCTTCTTCTTCTAAGTTGTCAGTCTGTCCACATTGATTGTCCAATTGGATCAGCTGAAGCATCTATCGTCTGAGGTCAAGTTGACCCCCTTGCATAAATTGTTGAGTTGCATCGGAAGGCGGCCGCTAGACCAAGCACCATGAGTAGAGAGTGATGTGAGGTCAACTCGGACAGAACACTCCGGCAAAGACCAAAGCTGCCGGCATAGCATTTGTCACATCTGTCTTAAACCACATACCTGCATGGACCAGCAGATCCAAGTAGAAAAGGATCTACGCAAGATCGCAAATGGACAACAGCACGATGTATGTTTCTGCCACAATATGTACATTGAATTATTTACTCGTCAAGAATGCGTTCCATATTCTCATCAGCTCGCTCAAAACTTCAGATGATTTACTCCAGCCCTCTTCTAGGCCTCTTTGCCACCCTCGTACCCGTCACTCGGATTGGATGCGTCTAGACGGGAACAGCGGTAAGGCCACAGGCAGCAGCCGCAGCAGTGACGGAGTTTCCATAGTACTGCCAGACGTTCTGGGCGTTGGCGCACTGCAAGCAAGCATCGTAGCGAGCGATCCACTGGTAGTTGGTGCAGTAGCCTGTCTCGCGAGACAGGGTGATGGAAGTACCTAGAGTTCATCACCGTCAGCAAAAACTCGACAACGTCATCTTTGTTGGTTGAAAGAAAGAGAGAGAGCTCTTACCGCAGTTCTCGTGGCAGAGGTAGGCGGGCGTGCCTGGGGCGGGAACGTCCTGGCGGGTGACGAGGGGCATCGACTCGGGGAACTCCCAGCCGCCCTGGTTGCGGTTGATGAGCGGGTTGGCGGAGGCCAGGGAGGCGACAAAGGCCACAGTGCAGGCGATGGAGAAGCGCATGTTGGTGATTGAGAGGTAAGACTTGAGGGTTTGAAGGATTTGGCGAGACTTGAAGTTGAGGTGAGTAAAACAGCTGGGTATCGAGAAGAGACTCCACACTGATTCAGGACATCCACGACTCTTTATATCCAACATCACAGCTTGGCAAATGCTACCTTCCTTCTCAGTCTGTACAAAGCTCCTCTCCAGTCCCTCGGAATGCCCAGACCTCTTCATCCGAAAGCAGATGCCAAACGGCATCCCACACTGTAACGGCGCACCGATATCGCCGGCGCTATTGGAAGGATGAGATCTTGGCGAGCGATTTCCAGAGAGCCAGTTTACCTTTCTGCCCCAACGTTGCCCGGAAAGAAGCGGGTTTCCGAGCGTATTCAGCGGGGCGGCCGACATCCGTCCGAACCTTTTGAAAGCGGAGTCGCCTCCCCTGGGCCCCCGGTCCCCTGTGTCGAGCGGTTATGCTTCTCATGCCATCTAATCTAATCAGATCATCTGATAATCAGGATCCCTGTGGGGAGCCGGGACGAGACTGCTCAATGGGGCTCTTCATGTCCGAGAACCCACCCACACGAATGCGACCCACAAAGTTTGATATACGAGATTGTTATGTAAATGGTGAGTTTGGAGTCTTGGCTTTCGGAACTGCCCCAGCTGAGTCCAGCTCACATGCTAAACGGGTTTTCAGGGTTCATACCACTCAAGGTTGTAGTTAAACTTGGCTTTCCCTGCAATGAAGATCGAAAGTGGCGATATGATGTACTCAGTAAGAGGTTACAACGGGAGACTACCAGGAAGAAGAGGTT